CCCCAAAACCCCAAAACCCCAAAACCCCATAAAGATAATTATCCAAATAAATTAGGGAATATTTCATTTTTATTAATTAGAGAATATTAAATTTTGAAATTAATAAAATGTTTGCTTACTTTTAAACCTATCTCCGAAGTCTCTCAAAAAAAGATGAAAATCGTAATGGTGTTTAGCAGCGAACTAGCGCTTAGTATCAGTATTATGATGTGAATTAGAAACTACGAGGCAAGTCCAGTCAGTAAGTTATCTTGGGGATGGGGAGAAAGCATATTAACAATCAATAGAATGAGTAGCACACTTCGAATGAAAATATAGAGAAGAAAAAACATAATTAACTGCAACTGTAGCAAAGCGATTAATTGGTTAGTCCAGAGTTAATTAGAAAAAGTTCAGGCTTAGACACTGATAGGACTATTAGAAACTCTCTTTAGAAGACTACATTTCAACACCCTAATAAATAAAATAATCAGGTCAATCAAACTTATTACTCTGGACTAGAAAGAAACAACAATAATCTGCTTGCAAATACTAGAAAATAAAATATTACATTGAATATCAGCAATCATAATAGCAATATTACTAATGAGACCATATCATTATAGAATCAGTAATAACACCAATTGCAGTCTCAAAGTTCTATCAAACAAAGAATCAACAAAAAATATGAAAGTATTAATAGCAAGAAAAAAGGGAAAGATTAGCTTAAGAATAACAATAATAACTTACCTTAAAATAAACGAAATCAAGTTAAGGCATATCAACCAAGTGTTTACCTTAACGAAAGACAAATAAATAATCATGATAACTTACTTACTACTCGACGAGAGGGTGCTTAAGTCTTTTCCCCAAAATTAAATCAAACACCTAGGGATGATGGAGTATTTTCAGTAGTAAGAATGAATGATGAATAGAATGATTTAAGTGTACAAAATACAGAAGAGGATATATACCAGAAATTCTTGAATTAAAATCAATCAAGCGATAAATAACCTCAAAATAGGTAAAGTGTTTCATTGCTGCAAACTATCATTTAATAGCCAAACGATGATGATCCAAGAGAATTGCACAATGCTATCTAGATTTACAAAGAGTCGCTTAATTAGTCAAGGCAATCTAGATACCACAATAATGCCCCTACTCCAACTTATCAGAATGTTGGCGTATCATTTAACAGCAGTGATTACATGAGGAGTGTGAGGACTGCACTAAAATAAGAATCAAGTAAAAAAGCAACTTAGGACTAATAAGTTAAAAAGGCCAATTTATATAGTAAAAAATATAAAAGTCCTCGCTAGTAAATTAGCAATCAAAAGGGTTAAAGTTCTTAGCAGTCAAGCAAACTATAAACTCAGTCATAAATGAGAAATTTTGAAAGCCGAGACATTAACCTTCGGGATAGAGAAATGACATATGAGAGTGAAAGGTCTAGCATCTTTAACGAGAATTTATCGATGGTTGATTCCAGCAATAGAAACAACTTCAATAATTAATATGCTCATAATCTCGAGGAATAGAAGAAGGCCCCTACTGATATTTCTGAAGTGATCTATCAACTAGGAGACAGAATTGAATCTGCAAGAGATGTCAGTAGGTATAACATCATCAAGCCTGGCAGTAATAATGTTGTTTACTAGGATGCTTCAAATCTTGATAACTCCAAATAGATTCAACAATATTTGGAAATGAATCTACGTATGCAGAGCTTACAAAACTTGAATGATTCTTTTTTCTCTAAAAATCAATTCTTAAGATGCGTTGATTTAAGGAATAATTAGATAAAGCATTTGCCAGATTCACTGAGTAACCTAAACATACTGTGGAAGTTGAGACTAGATTTTAACTTGCTAGAATATCTTCCAAATGGTATTGGTAAACTAGAAAGACTAGAAGTTTTAACAGCTTCTAACAATAAACTAAGAGAACTACCTAAATCACTATATTAGTTGCAAGAAAAATTGGGAATGCTATAATTAAATGATAACTTAATAAAATCTCTAAGCAATGATATTGGAAAGCTTAAAAAACTAAGAGTGCTTCTCCTTCATAACAATCTCTTTAGGAAACTGCCTTGTGAACTTTACTACTTAAAAGAAATTTAGGAATTTTCACTTGAATGGTTTACTTATATGAATCCTCCTCAAAATAAGATTCTTAAAGATGAAAGGGGTTTACTAATGATAAAAGATTTCCAAAAGTTTTGCAAGATATATGCAGAGATTAAAAGTAGGGGTAGTCAATAGTTCAGCTTTGTACATTTTATTGCCTTTTTCAACTAGCTAAGTTCCCTTGACTAAATTTAAAAGATGAATAGCTATCCCAAATATCGATCAATACTACATTATTTATGTCTCTATGGGCATTTACATCTTCTCAAAGATGTGCTCAGAGCATGCCCTAAGATAAATCTGAATTAAATTGATTAGGATGGTACTTCTCCGTTGATATTAGCATTTAAAAACAAATAGAATAAAGTCATCTCATTTTTACTTAAATTCCCAGCATTAAACTTGAACAAGTGTTCCTCAAAGTATGGATTTCCGATTCACATTGGAATAAAAAATCATGAGTTTTACATTGTTTAAAAAATGTTGAAGCCTGAATATGTAGTCAATATAAATGCAAAAGATGAGGATGGCAATAACTCTTTACATTTCTTGCTAGGACATTTTGGATATGACTCTCCTAACTGTGGAAAGATTGGTGCATTGCTATTAAAGAAGGGTATTGATATCAATGTTCTGAATAAGTCTGAGTTTAGTCCTCTTCACATGGCAATAAAGGCATTTCAAAATAAGGCTATAAAATTTGCTTTAGAATATAATCATTACTTGAGGAAGAAAATATAGAAAGATTATTGTCCCTTTGAACATGTTATGGAGAGGAGACCATCCTCGGTCACACCTTAGGAAAGAGAGAGATCACCAGTTAAGTAATTTAACTACGAGCCATTTGATTTTAATATAATTGGGAAAAATGGCTGGACTCTCTTACACTATGCTGTATTCAATAACAATCTAGTGGCAGTTGAGTTGTTATTGAAAGCTTAGAAAGAGGAAAGCATTTATATTTTCTCAAGAGATCATGATGGTAAATATGCCTAGGAATTGTGTCCTTTTAACTCTCCGATTTATAAGATTATCCTAAGAAGGTAAAACTTGATCATTCGAAATATGTCAATAAGTGGTGGAAATAATAATAATACTGGAATGTTTTTAAATTAGACTTAATCAGATAAAAGTAACTTCGCCTCATAATAATCAAGAGCAATAACTCATAATTGTATCAACAGATTTTATATAAAAAGAAGGATGCAAAATCTACATAAAAGCAAAAGTACAAAGAAAATAGGCATGGAAACAATTCCATTTTCCCATTAATATCTTAAAAGAGCCAATTCTAACGGTATGCTACTCAGATAAAATTTGAATAACAGCCATGATGTTGATTTAATAAAAATGGAATAGAGATTTGAATAAATGGGAAGCAATAAAAAGGTCAATAATCCTAATTTCGGCTTTATGTTTCTTCCTTATCAAAATAACCAATACTCCAAAAATATAGCAATTGATGAAAAAGATAAAAAGCTGATCAGAGAGTCAATAATAAACCAGAATTCATCTGAAAAAAATAATTCAAAAGCTAGAGGACTGCAAAATTCTTAAACTGAAAAAAATCTATTCAATCCTTAAATGGGTTTCCTTTCATATAATGAGATAAGAAGTTAAGGCAATATAAATTCATCGATTGAGGAAGAAGACGAGCAATCTATGAGGATAACAAAGAGATTGAATGACCAGTAATCTCCTTAAATCTTCTAATAAATCAGAAAACTTCCTCAGTAATAGCCATAATATACAAAGCTTGATACAGAACTTCGACTAACAGAGGATATATAAAAGTAAGAAACGAGGGCATTCAGACTATTAGATAAAGACAATGTTAAAGTTGAAAATAGCATTCCAAGTCCTGGGCATACTAGATATACGAGTCAAGTAATTGACTTTAATACTGAGAACATAGAAAACGAAGACTTAAATATTTACAATACTTCTTAAGTGTCAATTGATTATGATGATGAAAACATTTCTGATGAAAGTGATAATAGTGATTCTATTTCTTAAATGGAAAATCTGATGCTAAACAGATCATCAAGTGAACAGCAATAGTTGAATCAATCTATGAATAAGCATCCCAATAGGCATAGAAAGAATAAATCCTCTGGCCAAAGTTCTAGCAGAGCGATTGGAGATTCTTCAATAATAAGAAGAGATTAATCAAGTTCTTCAAAAATGAGTGGGGCTATAGGGGTAACTGGAATTAATCTATCCTCTAAATAGCAAAGTAATTAGGATGAATAAGAAGAGGTAGAAGATGATGAAGATGATGATATTTGCGATGCAGCTGATGAAGAGGCTGAAGCAGGGGCTTTAGGATTAATTGCTAACAAGATTAATAAATTTGAGAATCAAAATGTTGAAATATAAGAAAATAAAGTAATCGAAAAAGAGGCATTAAAAAGATTCATGATAGATATGAAAGCTTAAAGGTTAATATAGAAACAAAATTTTTAGAATTAACAGATAGAAAGAAGATAATCTAAATAAGTTATAACTAACATCCTCTCAGCTTAAACTGTTGATCAGCCATTCAATTACATTGAGAAAGTAGAAGAAGACATGAATTAATATAACACAACTTTGGAGGATGGAAATGTATTTGATACCTGCGAAAATCATGATGTAAGCAAGGCTGGTGATAATTCTTTTCTTGAAGAGCCTTCCACAAACTACTATGACAATTAAAAAGTATCAGCAAGGAATGTGAAAACTAGATAGAATATTTTCATTGTTAATGATTAATCAATGACGCCCAAATCTCTGTTATAAAACTAACCCTTTTCAAGGAAAAGTTAAGTTGCATAATCGAACTCAAAGGATAACTAAAATAGAGCTCTAGCTAGACTAGCAGATCTCAATAAATCATGCTAACTTTATGACTCAAATACCCCATTTTCTCAAAAGATTAGTGTTGAGGATTGCTTAGCAATACTAAACTGTAACAGCAACACTGTAGGCATGAGCAAGAAATATCAAATCTTCTACTAGTTCATTTACTAGGATGGAAGAGTTATAGATGATAAAAAGCTTAAATAGCTTTACGAAAAACTAGAGGATAATACAGTCAATTCTATATTTAAAGTTGATTTGGCCTACATTATATCAATAAGCAAAAACAAGGAATTCATTCCCTAGCTAGACAGTGCAATTAAATAATATAATAATTAGGCCTCCTAAATAAAAAAGTTAGACTTTAGACAAACAAATAATAAATCTCCAGAACCAACTCTGAAGTCAAAATAGTCTGATACAAATATCTAAAAAGCACTTTTAACTCAAAGAACTCACACTAGATCCAACTAATTTAGCCAATCAAATTGCAAAAATCTTATAATATACGAAACTACAAATGCCTTCGATATTCTAATGAATGATGCCATGGTATAATCCTAAAATTTGATGGATTAATGCAATAAGAAAATTAACATTGAGAGAGAAAGGAGTCGAGAGAGGATGAAACTTAAACACATAAACTCACAATCAAAATTGTAGAATGGAAGCTTTGAATAAATAGAATAGGTATACTAGAATCATACTCATAGAAGATATCCCTCAAAGAATCAAAAGCTTGTCAAATTGAAAATTGAGAATTTTTAGGAGGAGCTGAACTCCATAACTCAAAATGCAAGTGAAATACCAGAATTAATGGTAAGACTGAATAAATCACCTAGCAATTAAAGTATAAAGAATCTTAAGTATTACTATAACATGTACTAAGATCAGAATATTTCAATCGGCAATAATACAAATAAAGTTAATCAAACAGCCATCAATTTTCAAGATTTCAGTAATGCAAGCGATAATAATGGAAATGATTAGACTAAAAAAGGCACATTTACTCCAAAAGGAACATCTGGCTAAGTATTCCTAGCATTTTAAAGATAAAAATAGCAGTCGAGACTTAATCATTAGACAACAGATCCATAGTCTCCATACAGCAAGAATCAAAATCTGGATTTCACAACTTAAGTACCTTAATACAGAGTGAATCTAATTAATGAAGACGAAAACTTTAATGAAACTATAATAAACTCATCAATTAGACCAATACAGCAAATCTTTGAACCCCTAAATCATTCTAGACTGCAAGAAGATAATAACATAATTAAGCCAATCAATATTAAAGTCAAATAAGATGCTAGTATATCCTAAGAATAGACAGATATTTAAAATCATAAATTTCTCAGTAGCAATTCATTGAATAGCAACAATTAAGTAATAAATGATACCAGTAACTTTTAAAATTTAATCCAGAGTTCCCAAAAGGATGTTCAAATTTAATCTTCAAGAGATCTAAAATAATCAGGAAATATGAATGTATATAGAAATGAACCTTAAAACTTGAAAGCTCATGTAAGTGCATCAGGCGGTAGCGGTAGTATTAATCCTTTACATCATGCTTAAAGCTAAAAGCAACTTTCAGCATTTAGCATTAAATAAAGAGAATTATCGATGCAGATTAAGTAAAATCTGTCTAAAAAAGGAATTAATAATAACGCTAATGCAACCACAAATAATGTTAGAGGACTGTAGAATGCTTAGAGTATGATTAACGTAAGAGCAGTAGCTGGAGTAGAAAATGAAAATTCAAGGAAGTTGAATCTTAATCAAAGTAATAATATAGTTAAGTATTAAGTTCTGTAAACTCAGTCATCAACATATCGACAGCAGTAATAGCATACTTAGCAATAGTCATCTTAACAGACAAGAAAACCTAAAATAGCTCTAAATAAACTCAGCCCAGATAAATTAACTAGTAATTAAGATCTTTCATTTGAAAAGGCAGAGGAAAGGATAAAGAAAAATACAACTTCAAACGCTACAGCTAGCTAAATTTAATACATCAAATATTCTAGACGTCAAATGCACTAGCCTTAGCACAGTGAGTCTCAGCTAAAATCTATAAATCAGCCTCCTGCCTAATTAGCTAACATTTCATACAACTTTGGAGCATCAGCTGTGAAGTATCATCAGGGTGTCAAGCAAGTGAAGTATAATCTATCCATAGATTCCTAGAATAATTTTAAGAATATCAAAAAATCTACAAGTACTACAAAGCTGACGTCAGACACAACTCAAAATTAAATTTGACCTTCTCAAATAATTATATCGCTAAATTTGCCTATAGATAGATTATTAACTTTAATAATTGATACTTAATGTTTTCAATGATTTCTCTCTCTTTCTTTTTTCAATAAGTTATATATATATATTGTCTCATGGGGTTTTGGGGTTTTGGGGTTTTGGGGTTTTGGGGTTTTGGGG